AATATAATAATATTTAAAATGCTGAAGAAAAATGAAATTTGAACTACATCTCTATACCTAACCCACTATTCATTCATGCGTAAATAAAGGCAGAAAGTATAAACAGCTCATCTCTGAAAGATTACTAAAAGAATAAGCCCAAAAGATATGAACCGAGTGCAAGAATCAATAGTAGATAAAGTAATTGGTTAAAAAGACAGTAAACCTAAATACTAAGTTGCAGTGGTGTCAGAGAAATACAGAAACAATGATGATTAATATTTACCAACCAGAAGATTGGAGATTTAACAGTCAGTGGGAACTATATTCTAGAAAACTATACAGAAGATAGGTAGGAGTGATTTGGAGTGGAATATACTATAATACTCGTGTTTCAGAGAAGGTCAGTGCTACTGATTAGTGCTTCATACTAAGTAAACATATTAAAAATTTAAAAGTCATTCAAAATAAAAAGGTAAGACTTTTAAACCAAAGCAAGATACAGTTGCAATAAGTAGTCCCTAAGATGAAAAAAGGTGGAAAATGATATACAGCAGTAACTTAGCTTACAAACTTAGTTTGTATGATGATTTGGGGGAAGATGGCGATGCTTATATTTGTGCCAGGACAACAGACATGGCTGTGTTTGCAAGGCTAGATTCATGATTTTCCCAATACCTTACCAGTCTGCCAGCAGAGGCATTATTCTCAGCACAGCACCTGGGGCCTTTACAAACATGCTATATCATAAAGGAAACAAGACAGAGCACAGAATCTTCTGCACATCAGGACATATAAAGGCCAGGCGTTTACACTTGACACCTCAAGGACTTTGCCCACTGATCAAGACATCCAGAGAACTGTGACCACTGATGTTTACAAAGATCTTCCAGGTTAATGCCCCCTGCCTTCTTTCAAATCCTATTTTTAAAAAAAAAAATCTCGCTTCTCTTTGCTCCATACAGATGGCCTTTTGCCTTCAGTCTGCCTGCCATCAGGCACAATGAATTCCATGCCATGTTGCCTTTCACAAGCCTGGTGATCTCAGCTGATCTCTGTCTCTTACCATCCCTTACAGTGTTTGTCACCCAATGCAGGATTTGCAAAGAGAAAGAAAATTTGGTTGACTGCTTTAGTTTGCAAAAAGAATTGTATGAAAGTAGAAGCATTTGTGAACTGTATGAAGTATTATTATATTTACTCAGAATGAAACAGAATAAAATTTCACATATGCAGAATTTTAACCATAAAGAAAACAAACTTACGTATGTTTATGAATGTGGACATACACAGAAAAATACAGACATGTGCAGTGAAGATGAATACAATCATCTTCAGAATGATGACTCTGGTAGGGAGGAGAAAAATGGAGGGCAGAGGAAGCTTGAGTTGTATTAATAATGTTTTATTTCCACATAAATAAATCAACAATAAAAAATTTAAAATTTCTGTGCTATATATTTTATTTTATTTTAGTCTTTTTTGAGATAGGTTTACCTATGCAGTTCAGGGTGGCCTTAAACTCACTTTGTAGCCCAGGCTGGCCTCAAATTTGCAGAGATGTTTTATTAATCGGTGTTGATAATATAGTTTAAAAGATGGCTACATTTATGACTCTATGATCTTGATTCAAAAAGGGAAATGTTACTTCTAAAGATAGAGTTCTATGATGCTCAGGAAGCTGAATTTTGGAGCTGATACTGAGTTCACATTTTATCAGTGTCATTTAATTATCTACTTACTATGAGCTTAACCAACACTAGCATTATGCAGCTGCAAATTTTAGAGATATCAAAGATATATTTATTTATTTAACACAACATTTGCAAATTTATTAAAACTTTAATAATCTGTTGAACAAATTCAAAAAAATAAAATAAAAATTCCCAGAAGATACACATTTTACTTATGAGAAAACTGTACATATGAAATGCCAACTTATATATGCACAGTGAAATCTGATTATAATTTTTTCCAAATGTAAGGCATGATACAATTTTCAAACTATTATAGCTACTAACCTTAGGATAAAGAATATACAGTTGTCCAAAGAATTTACATCTCAAAGTTATGTCAATTAAGTTATTTTGAAGGGAACTTGTGAAATTAATTTGATTTGTATTAAGTTGGATAGTCTTGTGTGAAACATTGAAAATTATGGACAAGATAAACCAATAACATAAGCATAGAAACTCAGAGTTAGAAACAAGTTGCAGGTAGATGACATCAAGACATAAAATGTCAAACTAAAATAAGGAAATAATCAAGATGAATTAAGCTAAGAGTCTTCCTTCATATGAAACTAGATACAGAACTTTTAAAGAGGCATCTGTGATTGACAGAAGTCATACAATGACAGCCCACAGACCAAAGATTTTGACATGACAACTTATTGGGATTTATTTAAATATAAAGTAAAAGTTAGATGAAATGAATATATCTTTGATTTTTAAATCCACGTTGTCCTTTTTTCTTAATAAGTTGAATTCACCATTTCACACAGAAGCAATAAACTGGGGTTCAGTAATCGCTGTCCTCATCACATGAGGGTTTCCCCTTGGCCATTCATTTTCATTGTTATTGTACTTATTACAGCACCAACCTGCCTCCTATAGTCAGGAGACGTGCAGAAGCTGAGTTTAACGGTGAAAATGTGAGAGTAAAGGGCATGAAAAGGAAAAGAGGTGAGGGTGAACAGTGGGGTGACTAGAGAGGGAAATGTTGGGGCTGGATGAATAGAGGGAGGTGAGTTGGTTATGAGGTGTGAACCACAATATGGTGAATTTTATTTTTTTAAATTAAATAAAAGACACATTGCTATTAATGTTGCACAAAATGCCCTTCCTTGCTTCAAACACAATTATTCCACTGTTTTTGCAGTTTTCTAAAGCAGTGTTTTTTGTGTCTTCATGCTATTGTGGATGCCCTGCTGCCCTGAATTTATTTAAAATGTTTATTTTTCATGATCATTTCCATTTTAAGGAAAAACCAGAAGTATCATAGTGCCAGATCTGGTGAATAAGCTGGATAAGAACACATTTACAAGCCTGTCTTCCTATACTCACTATATTTTCTACTATGCCTTGCAAAGGCAATCACAAAAGAGGAATACCAAGAACAATGGGAAATGCGTTCAAAGCACAGGGGACTATTCTGATGGAAATTTATGGCAATGTGCATTTTATTTTATTTTAAAATTTTTCTTAAAGTTTGAATATGTACCATATAATTCAATCACCCCTTGTACTTTGTATAAGAGATGATTGGTGAAAAGAATTGAATAGTTGCAAAAGAAACTCCTGGTACCAGACGGACAATTTACAAGAAAAACAACATATCAAAAATGGAGTGCCATTAACTTAAATTTTAGTATCAGGGCAAAATATAGCAACTTTTCCATAAACCACATCCTCAAAGTATCTCCTTGGAATGCATTCTAGAAAAGAATTTTTTATCATGAAAGTCTTCATTAATTGGCACCAAATTCCATGACAATAAACCACAAAAGAAAATCCGTTGATTTCCAATTATGATTTAGTTTCTGGCATTCTACCAATGATTTCAATTATAAATAATAGTTAATGTTTCTGATTTCCTTGGGGGATCTCTCTTGCAAGTGACATTGTTTTACATGGGGCATTTAATGTAAATAAATTTATAATGAATGAATGAATCAATCAATGAATAATGTAATTTAGATCAATAAAATCAAGTGAGATTCTATAGAGTCCTCCACATACTCAATAATCAGAAGAAAGAAAGATTATGATGCCAATGACAGATTTATACCAAGAAGATAATGTTTGCTTATTTCATTCCTTTGCAGACTTACATTGAACCTGCTATTTCTTCCAGTTCTGACACTGAGAAAATATAATTGGAAATCCATTGCATCAGATAAGGATCAAAAGAACTCAGTAAAAGAAAAAAGAAAGCTTTGTGAATTTAGTTCTGAATTTTCATAAGGTAATATGACCTTGGTAAGATGGCTTATTGAGATATATTTGTTTCATTTTTGTAGCTATGAAACAAGAAAGAAAATAAATTCCACTATCAGATTATGGCTTTAAAAATAAAATCTCCCTAAACTACTTCTTTATAGAAATGCTTATAATTTAATTTCTAAATGAATGCACAATTTGAAACAAAAGCAAAACTGACTGCTACACTATTTTAGAAGTAAATTACAACCTATTACTACAGCTATTCCTGCATTTGGAATCTGATCCAAAAATAAATGTTTATTGGCTATTTTTTATTCAAGTGGTGTATATACATACAACATGAATTCTTAACAGTCATGTCTACATTTACTGATAAATCAGATATACTGTCTATTTGAAAATGAGAGTAGGGTCCCAAATATATTGGTCATGCATTTTGTAAAATTGTTTTTCTTATATACTATATGGGAAGAAATTGCAAGTCTCCACTTCCTGATATTTACTTGGTAAGAAGAATTTTAGACATCTTGAAGTACACCTGTGCTGGCCCAGCCTTCAGAGCTCAAGCACAGTAAATCAGATGTGCATTACTTCCATCTCAAAATTCACCTCCATCTCCATCACATGACAGGAATGACAATATTTACTCAAAGGTGAATGCTAAGAAGGTTTCACTGCACTGTCATTCTCTATTTAAATTAATGAAGATTTAAGTTTTCAACTAATAAAGTTTCTGTGATTCCAACTAACGTTACTGCACAAACTTAAATTTAGCAGACTTCTCCTTTGAAGTCATTATAAAGGTTGTACTTAAGGAACATAAAGAAATTTTCCTACTAATCTAGCAGTGATTTACTAGAGATTTTACTAGTGATTTACTAGAGATTTGTCAGTCTCAGAGCCTATAACAGATTGCAAGTCCTGCTGAAAATGAGAGGAAATAATTTTGTCAAGGGTGTGGATTTGATGCTAGCATAAGCTCTAAAGAAAGGAACCACATTCCTACGAGCTCAAAATTTAAGACAAGAAAGCACGTAGTACTCAAACAGAAACTAATCCAACTAGTTGTCTGCTTACCCTTGCAAAGCCTTCTCTCCAAACCAGTCTCCTTTTCCTAAAGTTCTAAGAAAGATTGGGTCTTCATTTGGTGACTCTTCACGGGTAACATTTACCTACAACGAGAAACAATGAAAGTGTAAATTCATACCCAAAATGATCAGAAGAACACTAATTGATCAAGTGAATTAAACTTATTTCTTCATTTTTTTTCCTGCAAAGGCCATCTTTATTCATACTTCCAAATGCACATCCTAGTTTTTCTAGGATATTCTAATCTCTATTCCTAAGAACTGATTGTTCATTCAAAGGCCCATCACATTTTCATGTACCTTCCTGGAGGACTGAGTCTGACTACAGCTCTTATGATTTACATCTTTCAACTAGCAAGATTTTTATGTAATAAATAGTATACTATTCAAATAAAGAATGATTTATAAAATTATAAATTAACATTATAAAATTAGCATGTATAAAATTAGCATTCACTAAACTGTAGTAAATTGTTTTAACAGAAAGTTTCATTGCTAACAACATATTCTGGCATCTGTAGGATTTGTCATATGGGTCACACTCCCCAGAAAGTAGCTGATAATATTTCTTGCTATATGAATAAAAAGCCTACATAGAGTAAGTTGTACCTTTGTATTAATTCACTTCTGACTCAAGTTCTATTAATGTTCACAATATTGGTCTATGTATCATCTAGAAAGGATAAATAATTAAAATTTACCAACCTACAAAATGTAATGAAGTATAAAACTAATTTTGTGAGACAAAATCAGCCACACACATTTAAAAATACTAGGTTTCAGGTTTCTAAATCTAGAAATTGATTGTCAATGACCAGAATTTTTATAAGTATGAAAAAGGTCTGTGAAAAGATGAAGGGAATTTAATTACTATTCTCCACTGATCCATTTGATTACCCCTCTACACAATGTTTCAAACCATGGAAATTCATTCTTAACCCTATTAGTAACCACTAAGCTAAATCAAAGAGACACTAATTTGCATGCTAATGAAGCTTTTATAGAAATGGAAAGTACAGAAGGGAGTCTGATTTAAAATAAAAATTACTGGACCCTTATGCCTGGGATTCTTATTCATTCATGTTCATTTAGATAGCTAATGTTTATATTTTCTGTTTGTATAACATCCTATTGTATAAATTTTACAAAATCTATTAATTCTTCTGGTGATATAACTCAGTGTTGCTTCCAGTTTTATGTTCATATTTTGTTTTGTGGTGCTATTAATAATGCTCTCATGGACACTTCCTTACATGGGCTTGGGTATCTATAGGCAAGAGTTTCAGTAGCATCAGCACTTACAAATAAAGAATAAATTTATTATTTATATGCAATTTCAGTCTTAGTATTGAGTATTGACTCACTCCTGATACAAACGTACATTGACATCACCAATGAATGAAAGTTTGTATTATCCTATGTGATCATCTGCAATTCTAAGACACAGATAATTTTTCAGGAAGACAGGTGTTAAATGATATTCTAGTCTCTTAATTCTTAATAGCTACTACTGTAACTCTCAAGTTCCTTTTCTTTTCAGGTATTGTGTTATACTGATCTTCATTTTTCATTAGATCTCAGATAAATTTCCTTATAAATAATTGAACATTTTAAATTAGTTATATTCTTCAACATCTGACTCTCTAAATGATGTATTTAATAATATGCTTAATAATGGAATATAGAAAAACTGATTTTTAAATTATCATATAGTAAATATTTCTATGGATTAAAGACATATACAGCTGCATGTAGCTCCTACCACAATTAGTTACAGAATAACTTCAGCACTTTAAGTGACTTCATGCTATGTGTTTGCAGTCACATCTTTCTCCAGCTTTACCCCTAGCAACCAAAGGTCTGTTCTGCACTATGTAAGTTGTGTCTATTTGAGATTAGCATATAAATGAAATATCACTGAACTTAATTTTTGGAACTATTTTTTGTTTCTCAACATAATGCCTTTGAAATTCATACAAATTGCTATGTGGTCCTGAAGTTAATTCTTTTAATTGCTGAATAATATTCCGCTAAATGAATATACCAGTCTTTTTATCTGATGGCTCCACACACTAAGGAAAATTTAGGTATTGACAACTATTAATAAAGATCCTAGAAATATTGATGCAAAATTTTTATGTGAACTATATTTTCATTTTTTAAAGAACAAATACCAAAAAATTATGACTTCTAGGCCACTGGTAAATTTTTTAACTTTATAAGAAATTGTCAATTAGTTTTTCAAACTGCTTCTCATTTTATATTGCCATGTGCAAGGTATGAAAGTTGCAACTACCCTACATCTTCATTGTACATCTTCATTGTCACTTCATACAACTTTCTTTCTTTCTTTTTAGCCATTCTATTAAGGATATAGTAGATCCTGAGATTAAGTTGCAATTTCCTAATGATTTGTGATATTCAGAATCTTTTCATGTGCAGATTCTGAATATCAGGATCTTTTATATTTTGAATAAAGTAAATATTTTATTTTATAAAAGAATTTGCCATTCTTATATCTTTTTTACCTATTTGTCTATTCAAGTTATTTACTCTTTTTAAAATTATTCCAAATTCATTATTTAGGCTCAATATGAATCCTTTACCAGAGGTGCAATTTTTAAATATCTCCCAGATAGTAACATATTTTTCATTCTCTGACCAGTGTCTTTCACAGAATAAAAGCTTATAAATCCAATAAAATCAAAATTATTCCTTTTTTATTTTATGGACTTGGTACCAGGCCTAGGAGATATTTGTACAACCCCAAGTTATAATTTCTTCTAAGTAATTTTTCTACTTTTAAATCTATTACCAATTTTGAAAAATTTTATATACAGTATGAAGTTTAGTTCATTTCTCTTTTTTGGTCCCCAACTATTTGTTGAAAAGAACTTCCTTTCTTCAATGAATACTTCCATTCATAGATTACTTTTTTGTTTTATGATTAAATATACTATAGATACATTAGAGGTCTCATCTTAAATCCTTTACTATGAATGGATGTTGTACCTATCAAATGCTTTCACTTATTTTATTTCCATAATAATGTGTTTTTTGTCCTTTAGATAATAATACAATGGATTATATGAGTTATTTGCCTTTTTCAATATTTAAGTTATAGTATAGTACCTACATCTTCAATGTCCAATGCAATCATTACTACTACATGTAACTATTCATTTATTGCAGTATGGCTACTGCTGCTGAGACTCTGATTATTTAATCTAAGTTAGTTAATTTTTATTTAGACTCTTGGTGAAACTAACTGCCACTACATTAGACTATATGAACATAGAATACTTCCAAAACTTAAGAAAAGATGAATAATGATGAACTAGCTAGTTACTAATTTTAATAAAATATACATCTAAAAATTTTAAAAGAAGCTAAATTATATCACCTTTAATTGTTTCTTCATCACCAAATAGTCTATCTTTTTCTTGACTTACTATAATTAGTTGAAATGTCTAATACCACACGAAAAAGAAATGGGGATGAAATGCATCATTATTTTGAGTGTTTTGATCTAAAAGAAATGTGTTTCATGTTTTGTTGTGATGTGTACACACATACAACTGCAAACAAGATTTCCACAGAATAACACTTTACAAATTCAAAATACTGAGTATAGTGCTAAATCAGTATGTTTAGCCATCATATTTAAAAATGTTTTGTCTCTGAGAACAAAGCCATGTGCTTCTCAGTGACACTTAATATATAAGAGGCTTTGAATCACACTTGCTTCTAATGGTAGCATACAATATATATTAACTAGCACCAGAGAAATCCAAATGCATTTGAACTACCAGAATTCTGAGCTTTGCACACTAATTATATTTAATTTTGGTGCTAATTATTTATGGAGTGGGGGACAGCTTTTAATGCACTATCACTGAAAGGACATCATAATTCCTCGATGCTCCCCCATTCTCCCCTGAACCTGTTGTTTTGGAAGGAAATTGTGTTTCTAGGCAAGTGGAATGCACTAAATAAATTAAAGAGAAATAACTCAGCTTCAGCAGGAGACAGCACTGGCTACTTAAAACATCACCACTGTAAGCATTTCGCTTCCACTTTTAGAAAAATCACTTTGTGCAGGTTTAAAGGAGGAATACAAGTAGGATTTCAAAGTTTCCTTCATAATGTTTCTCTCTATTTGTGAACATGCTTAATCAGATATTAAAAAGTTATTTTATACATAAATAAACTGAACAGGGGAAAATCCAGTCATGGATCCATAGCTCCCTATATTGTTTTTCCTTAGATCTAACAGAATTTTCTAAGAAAAAATCCATTTAAGGGTAGCAAGGAAGCTATGTTCAGGAGGATTATCCTTTGCAAATGTTATAAATGCATAAGAAAATAAGTTTAGTCAGTATACCTAAAATGAAACATACAGTTTTAGAAACTTCAGATTTTACAACCTATTTTCTTGTTAACCTTAAACTCTATTATTGTTCATCTCTTTGTCCTTAACTGCACTCAAGTATGTCCATCTTCTACTGCTTATAATGACTCTAATATTACAATAAACATGTTAACTGATATAATTAGGAAAATATTTAGCTAGGGAAAACACATGCCTGGTTTTTAAAAAAACAACAGCCTTGAATGTGTCAAGAAAGTCTAATATATTATTACTATTTCTCCTCCAGAGCTGCCACATTAACTGAAATATTATCAAAAGATTTGGTTCCTGGGATATAATTTTCAAGTTGCTTCTGTATAGAGTACAAAACTTACAAAAGTTTTCAGCTGAAACTGGTTAAAACTATTATTTCTTTCAGGCCACACTGAGAACTTGCAATAATCAGGTGGTCACAAAGTTCATCAAACATCTATTTTAGTGAATAAGTACATCACTCCATAATAACAAAGAATTAGCAATATAATAAGGAAAAATAATAGGTCATCAGGACAAAAAGTCCTCTGGTGACCAATTAGACAGCTTTTGTCCATGAGGATTTTCAATTTTCCCTGATTTGTAAGCCAATGTTAACCATTTCATAAGTGGTAAACATTAACAATCTATCATATAAACACAACAGAATGTTTTCTTATTTCTTAATACTGGAAAATGCAAGATACACTTTTTACCATAAATGTTCAGACATGACATTTCATGATATTATCTAAGAAGTCAGTCCCTAACTTCTATTTCTACCCTAGTCCTTCATATATCAATCAAACAAACCCACTTAAAAGTATAAATATTGTTTCTTATTGTCATGGGACCTGCTATTGGCTTAAAGATTGAGTTAAGCATTCCTTTATTCAAAACTAGTCCAAAGAGGGATATCTAAAATATAATCTAAAAGAATCACTCACATATTATATTTACTGTGGTTCTGAAAACTTTCTGTATGAGCAATAGATACCAGACCCAGTCAATTCTTTAATTAGAAAAGATCAGTTTACTTAATTTTAAAATGATAAATATAAAAATTAAAATTGGTATATAAATCTTCTCTTTTGCAGCTGGGGATTTAGCACAGCGGCATGAGCGCCTGCCTGGCAAGAGCTAGGTTGTGAGTTTGACTCCTGGTACCAAAATAAATAAATAAATAAATCTTCTCTATTGTGTTTCTCTATTTTTTTCTATACTGTATCTAATGTGTTCAGAATAAAAATGTTTTTTAAGTATAGTTTAGGACAGCTGGGCACAGTGGTGCACACCATAACTCCAGCATTCAGGAGGTCAAGTCAGGAAAATCATCATGAGTTCAAAGACCATAGTGAATTGTAGACCAGCCTAAACTACATAATGAGAACCTGTCTCAAAAGAACAAAACAAAAAACTTATGACCAAAAAAAAAGTAAGTACAGGTCACAGACTATATACAATAATAAATGCAGCAACATGGCTTTTTTTGAGAAATTTAATATGTTTCAGTGTTATAAAGTTAGATTTATTTATTTCCAGTTTACTTAATCTTTTGTCATAAGTATAAATTATAGTAGAGTCATATGGTTAAAAACTAAAAGAATCCAAAAATAACACAGTTTTTCCTTCACAGTCATTGTTTACCCGATTATCTCTCTTCTCATTTATCACTTTTAATAGTTGCTTAATATTCATCCAATATTCTGTATAAAGCTACAACACACCATAAATATAGTCTGATCATTCTCAGAATATGAAATGATTTGCATGAGGAAACTGTAAGTTTCAGTGCAAATTCAAGCCCACCTGTTTTCACAAAGGAGATGTATAATATAGCAACGTAACTGCATCTAAGACTGCACAAGTTTTTAAAAGTGCCCTTAGTATTTATTCTCTGTTGTAGTTTCAGTGCAGAGCTTTGTATTCACAAAGACTTATCAGTGATATCTAACCTGATTATTACCATTCTGAATGCTTACTGATCTTCAAAATTACACTCTTTCTCTTGCATTTTAATATTTATTTATTTATTTATTTAGCAAATCAATTACAAATAGGTTCCTGTCAGAAAGCCCATGCAGCACCACACTTAGCACTGGTGCTCCTGCAGGAGTGTTGACCAACCCCAGGCTGCCTTCATACATTACATCTTGTGCCACCAAAGCTTACCGTTCCTTTGCTGATGATAAAGAAGGTGTCCCCTCTTGCACCTTGCCTGATAATGTATTCCCCATTTTCATAATGGGTCTGAAAAATAGAAATAGTGACACAAAGTTTACAAAAGGAATTATTTATCAAAACGCCCAAATTTGTCAAATATCAGACCCCAGGAATGTATTTATTCAGACTGAATTTTACTCAAGCCATAGAGCCATCATACTGTGTGGATAACTGTCAATAAAGGCTGAAATTACAAAGATGTCACATCTTTAATGCTTATTTTAAAACTCCTTATGAATATCATTTTTATGGGTGATTATATTCATATCTTTAAATTCATTCACTTCAACTGCTTATGAAAATATTATTTTCTCCTATCAACTAAGCATGAAATAAAAGAGCAAAGAGCCTAATTAAGCTAGTCTTTCTGTATTTTATTTGTCAATCTGATTTGGTCTCAGTGTACTCATAATGATGGCCTTTTTTTCTTCCTGAGAAGTTATCATAGCATCAAAATATCTTCATTCGAATGCAGGTTGTCTTTCAATGTGGGTTAGGTGGCTCTGAACACTTTTCAAGGCATCACTGCATTATCTCGGTGTCCTTGCTTCAACAATTTAGGTTAAATCCTGTTAAGCAGAATGGCTCAATTTTCTGAGCTGAATTCTGACCCTGCCTCTGCCAAGAATGAACTACTGCATGCAGAGCCAGGTAAGGCTGCTAGAAGATTAAGTATCCTGATGTGGACATCACCAGTGGGTCCATTCCCAAGGTGAATATTACACCTACGATGAACAAAAGTAATTTCTCTAAGGAGAAGTAGGAGAAAGTGTACTTTTGGGTGACATGGTATAACAGAAAAATAAGCCAGTGCAATCTTGACATAATTTTCCCATAGCTTAGTATTGAAGCCACACCTTGTGAAAGGAAACACTACCCGTGACTTAGGAAACAAATTTGATGGTTTACACATGATATTCACCAGGGTGTTATTTGTACTAATATTTCAATACCATTTTCTTAACATTTAATTCTAGTCTCTTAAAATTATCTTTCATTAATACTTCATATTAATTTAAAATTAGCATATTATTCCTTATCTGTTACTAATTACTAATTTCATTCACAAGTAATTCATTTTTCTTGTGACAATTTTCTAAGCAAAAAGAAGTCTTCCTTATTTCTCCTTCTCAGTCTCAATCACCTTATGGTACATACAGGCTGCCATATACCTTTCAACATTATTTTATAATGTTTTAAACAGACACACATACACAAACAATTATTTCAAAATAAAAGCAGAAATATACAATGTATATTACTCAATTAATTTATGCCATTTAATAGGATTATTATCCATTTTCATGTATTGATGCATTATAATGGTTAGATCTTTACCGCATACAGATTTGAAAAACTCACAATAATCCACATCTGTGTATGTGTTCAAGAAGTATGTGTCAGTGTCTTTGAGATAGGCCTTCTTATAGGCACTGACAATCCAAAGATGAATTAGACAAAATCTCTTAACAGTACCATCATATAGATCTTTCATGGATGTTGAAAATGTTCTACAGTTGTATTTTCAATATAGTAGCCAATCACTACTTGGGGGTACAAAGACTTTAAAATATTTTAAATGTATTTAATATTCATTAATTTAAATCACAGTAATCATGCATGACGAGTAGCTTGTGAACCTGCATAGCACAAGTGAACGTTAAAATCTGTAGCCATTACGCAGTTGAAGAGGACTGTCTTTCATTTGTTTTGATGTTTCCTTCTACACGAACAAAATCCAATGGGAAAAACCCAGATCTTTCTCTTCTACTTTCCTCACTCTGCACTAAAAGAGATGGCCTGACTTATCTGGGTGATGGATTTGAAAGGAATCAGCTATGCAGTCTCAGAACTATTTCTTTCCTCTTCACTGGAAGGTGCTTCCCACAGAAGCAGGACCTCTTCTGCCTCTTCTCCAGGGGAAGACTCTTCCTCATCACAGTGATATGTGTCTCTGTCTCAGCTTCTGAGACATGACAGAGAGTTCTTCCCTATTTCATGGTCCAGTTTGGGAAGCCTATTTGTCTCTCATATCTAATTTACCGACTGTCATTCAGATTTTATAATTTCCCAATAATGGTAATATATTAGTCTCATTTATACTTAACTTTGTTATTTTTTTCACTTAGTTCCTAATGTAAGATTGCTCAGAAGCCCCAAAATAACCGAGTGTGCATCATGCTCTATACATCTAGCATTTAGTGAGAATATAATTCTTAAGAATACCTGACTCTTTCTAAAGTGCTTCTCTATGGAAGATCCTATGGTCACAGTTGAAGGATAAAATAGAGATCACTGGATATTCATCAGGATAAAACACCACAGGAAGGGCAAAACAATCAGCTTATTATTGTCTCATAATAGCAGTGAGTGCACAGGTTTTCTAAATGTAAATAAAAGGCACAAAATTTGAAGAATTCCTAAATGAGATTTTCTTTCCCTCATCTATTCCCTTTTTTTGTTGGTGGGAATCTAAACTAGTGCGGCCTCTATGAAAATCAATATAAAGATTCCTCAAAAAACTAAAAGTATGAGTTCCATTTGACACATCTATACCTATCTGGGAATCTTCTCAGCAGTGAAAGATATCAGATTACAATGATACACGCATGCGTATGTTTATGGCAACACAATTCAAAATAGCTAAACTGTGGGAACAGGCTCAACAACCATCATCAGATGATGCAAGCATAAAGAAAATGTAAACATACACAATGGAGTTAACCACTCAGCCATAAAGAAGGATAAATTTGAGTGGTTTGTAGGAAAATGGATGAATTTGGTTACTACAATGTTAAGTGAAATACATAGACACAGAAGATTAAACATATTGTGGGTTTCTCTTATATGTGAAAAACAACACATAAGTAAGAGCAAAACACAACAGAGATGAAAGGAAACAATGAGACAAACTTTGTGGATATGTGAAGTAGATCTGGGCAGTAGGGGAGCAGAGAGAGCAAGAAGAGAAATAAAACCAACTAAAATGTAATATGTGTATGTACGGATCCCTCAAGATGAATGCAATTGTTACATACTGTAAACGTTTTCCAATGAAATCATAACCTTATTCATATGATACTTATCTACTTTTGGAAACCAAAAAACATTTGTAAATAGTAAAGGTTCTGAAGGGAAGAATTTCCTAACCTCAGCACTCCTGATATTTGTAAGGCAGGTAGATCTCTGCTGCAGGAAGCTGTGTCACATATCCTGCTCTCACATCATGCTTAGCATCTGCTAGGTACAAGTAACATTGCAACCACTGTTGTGATATCCAAAAGGTCTCCAGACTTTGCCATACACTGGGGGTAACTGTCTTCCTTTGTGAACAACTGCTTTAAATTGTTTACATTTTTAATCCCTTCAGCTTCAGAAGTTGAGATTTGGTGGTGACACCCAAACATTCTTCAGTTATTTAATTTACAGTTATATAAAGAATCTCTTTGTTAGTATCACATGACATTGACTTTGTAACTCCAGCCTCACAAGTGCCATATCAACACTGGCACTATTTCCAAACCGGCATTCACCCAATGTATTTCCATTCATCAAAAGCTCATAAAACAAGGTTTCAGACAGGAGCCTCTGGAACTGTGGCCAAAGATATGCTAAGTGCAGGAAAGTAAAACTGGTAGTATCATAAAATCAGGACCATAATGATTCTATGATTTTTTCCCCTGAGAGGAATTTGATCAAGCATGCTGATTGTTTGGGGTTCTCCAAATAAATTAATCAAACCAACCATTTCACTGTTCTTTGAAGATCATTTTCCAGCTCTATCATTTTCTTATTTCAGATTAAATCATAGTACTATATAAATGTTACAACAGGAAGAGACCCTGGCAAGTAGGAAGTTTCCTTTAAAAGGTTTTCATGCGAGGCTGGGGATTTAGCTCAGCGGCATAAGCTCCTGCCTTGCAAGCAGGCGGTCGCGAGTCCGATCTCCGGTACCGGAAAAAAGAAAAAAAAAAAAAAAGACAACAACAACAACAACAAAAAAGGTTTTCATGCTTACTAGAATAGAACCCAATCTACACAAGTCTACAAGCTTGCATAGTCTCAGTCCCTCCTCACTCCCCCTACTTTGGTCGTCAGCCCTGCTGTGTCACACTGGTCAGGGCCTTCACCACGCTACCCCTTGGCTTATGAGCTCTCACTGCCGTATCCCCGCCATATCTCACCTAAGGACATTCTTCTTTCCTCTCCCATCTTCACCTCCCTTGACCTGGCACACCAGCCCCCTCACACCTGCGTATGTCTTGCCATATACATACAAAATGGCTAAATGAAGTCTCTTTGTTATATGACCTTACAGGACCATATAACTCCATTTCAGCCCCCTATCCTGAGCTTGGTGTTGGTTACTTACTTTTATGATTATCCCTTAGGGCCTATGAAGGTGAGAATCTGTCTGATTTTCTTCATTATTAAATTCTTGGTATCTACCACAATGCTTAGAACAAAGTGAGAACTCAAAAAACTATTAACAACATGAATAAAGTAGTGTCCTTTAATCTCCATCTTTAGCACTACTTACTACAAAGGATTCTACCTCCAATATAGGCAGGCAGCCCAATCTTCTTCTGCTATTACTGCTGTGGGCTACCAGAGCCAAGGCAAAACCACATCATCTCTTTCCACCATGACCTTCACTTTGGTCTGCCTACCACAACTCATCTCATCCCTTCTGTTCTTTGCACTGCACCAAATAAGCTTTCAGAGAAGAAGACAATTGAAATCACTCTACTACTGAAAGGGTTAACTCCCTAACTCCCCAGAGCTATCAGAGCAGAGCAGAAAGGAATGCCTAACTCCCCAGAGCTATCAGAACCGAGCAAAAAAAAAAAAAAAAAAATGCACCTGCAAGGTTGTTCTGTCTCAACGAGATAAGTAAGACAAGTAACTGTTCTGTTCTGGGCACATAGTGACTGGGCTAGGACCCCCAGTCTCCATGGTTACTCAACCCCAAACCCCTCCAATCAACTTCTGCCAAGTCCTATCCTGCTCAAAATTAACCAATGCAA